GGGGTTTTTGTTTCTTCTTGGAATTATACTTCCAGCTTGAAATCAAGATTTCTGTTTTAAGCATTGTTTCATTTTTTTCACGTTTTCAGGTAGGTTTTCTTGTCTTCTTGGAATCAGGCTTCCAGCTTTCTTCATGTTCCTCAGGTGGTTTTCGCTTGTCTTTATGTTCGACTAACGTCTATTTCTTTTTTCAGGTTGATTTCGCTTGTCTTCTTGAAATCAGACTTTCAGTTTTGGGTGTTCCTTCGTGCTCTCAGGTGGGTCTGATTTGTCTTCTTGGAATTAGGCTTCTGCTCTTTGTCGTTGTTTTCATTTCTTCATGTTCAACTAATGTTCCTTTCTTTTTTTTAAACTTTCGTACAGTCAAAACGTTTTTGTGTAGGCTTTTTTCAAGGGAATTTTTTCAGCTTTGTCTTGTCGTTTGGTGTGTAAATATACTAATTTGTTTTTCTTTCCAGTTAATAGGTATAATTAAACTTCGTTGCATTTGTATTTTGTTGTTGTTGGCACCGTGTTGTTGAAGAATTCTTTGTTAGTGTTATGGTCTTGTGGTTTTGCCATTAAGAGATCTACTGTGCTAGTAGTAACATTATTTTGTTGGTCTGTAGTAGTTATATAATATCGTTTAGTTAAGATTAGGGTTAGAGCATTAGGATTAAGGTTAGAATTAGGAGTTAGGGTTAGGGTATAGGTGTTAGTTGAAAATATTTGTATAACGATATTGTTATGCGGTATGAAAATGGCCATTACACAGCACTATTTGTTATATATGTACATATAATTTGATAAATAAAGATTATTTTATAAGTATTTTGATTTTTATAATTATTTTATTAGTGATATAAAAATTATGTAATTTGATTACGTAACAGAGAGGTGCACCACGGTGCAGGTACACTATTTTTTAAAACCCTTTTATATTATATTCTACTATGACACCTTTTAATTTGATACTTGTTTATAAAGTCGAATATGGTTTGATTTTTTATTGAAAAGCTAATTATAATATACTTTAGTTTGATACTTTGATTACAAAGTCAAATGTGGTTCAATTTTTTTATTGTAAAGTTGATTATGA